TTGGAGAGGCTCCTAAAAGAGAAACAACTCCAGCATAAATCGTTCATGGGCCAGTGTCATAGAGTAATGCAGCTGTACAGTACAGAAACAAACCAGCTCTGTCCAACTCATCTATGCCACTCCCCCAGATAAATGTATCTTAAGTTACTCTAGTCCCATTTGCCAGCATTTGGCCTATATCCCTCTTAAACCCTTCCTTTTCATTTACCGATCCAGATGCCTTTTGAATGTTGTAATTGCACCAGTCTCTGGCAGCTCATTCCAAGCACGCACCACCCTCTGTGTGAAAAAGTTGCCCCTTCGATCCCTTTTAAATCTTTCCAATATCACCTTAAACCTCTGCCCTTTAGTTCTGGAGTCTCCAGTCTCGGGGAAAAGACTTTGGCTATTCAACTTATCCATGCCCATCATGATTGTATAAACCTCTATAGGGTCACCCCTCAGCCTCTGATGCTCCACTGAAAGTAGCCCGAGCCTATTCAGCCTCTATCTATAGCTCAAACCTTCCAATACTGGCAACACCCTTGTAAATCTTTTCTGAATCCTTTCAAGTTTAATAACATCCTTCCTAAAGCAGGGAGACCTGAATTGAACACAGTATTCCAAAAGTGGCCTAGCCAATCTCCTATACAGCTGCAACATGACCTTCCAACTCCTATACTCAATGCACTGTTCAATAAAGGCAAGCATACCAAACACCTTCACCTGCCTACCTGGGAGTCCACGTTCAAGGAACTATGAACTTGCACTCCAAGATCTCTTTGTTTAGCAACATCATTAAGTGTATAAGTCCTGCCCTGATTTGCCTATCCAAAATGCAGCATCTCACATTTATCTGAATTAAACTCCATCTGCCACTCCTCAGCCCAGTGGCCCATCTGATCAAGGTCCTGTTGTACTCTGAGCTAACCTTCTTTGCTGTCCATGACAACTCCAATTTTGGTGTCATCTGCAAACTTACTAACCATACCAGCCTATGTTAACATCCAAATCATTTATATACATCAAAGTGAAAGAAAAGCTGCAATTTGGATCCAATAAAATGTGGTCTGCAAGTGCACTGGTTTTAGTTGTAACAGATGCATTAAAGAGGAGGCCAGAAAAGTAAAAAGGTTTTCTGAAGTAGTTTGGAGAGGTTCATAAAAGAGCAACATTTCCAGTTTAAATCAAGTATGGGCCAGTGCTATAAGTTTTCTGTAGATTTATACAATCCATTCTGTTAAATTCCTTTTGTCCACTGTTTAAACCTCATGAGTGAATACATTAATGCCCTCAATGAACTAGCAGACATAAAACTTCCATATTACCCACTAAATTACAACATTAAGGATTATAACAAAGAAGCAGCAAAGTCATTTATATTAGGCAGACAAAGGGCAAAAGAAAAATCAGAACAGGAATCAGGTCACAAAGGGATAAAGCAGCAATAACATTTTTACATTAAGAGTGCACCTTCAACACAGTAGAGTGTCCCAAAGTGATTCACAAAGGCATTGTCAAGGAAAATTTTCCATTGAACCATAGAAAGAGATACCAGTTCAGGTGATAAAAATCTTGGTCAAAGAGGGAGGTTGCAGGAGCATTTTAAAGAATGACAGAGAAAAAGAGATTGAGTGAGTGAGAAAGAGAGAGATAGAAGTGAAGAGTTCCCTGAAGGAATTCAGATTTCAGGTCCACGGCACAGTCTAAAAGATCAAGCTGTTCAAAGCATTGCAGAGTCGAGGCCAGAATTAAAAGTAAAAATGAAATTTTGAAGGATTGTAGGACAGTGAGAGGTTGCAGAGTGATTCAGAGAGGGATGGTTAGAGGAGCTATCAGCAGGGAATCCACAGAGGCACATCAGATGGTGAGTTAGAGAAACCAGTGCTAAAACACCCCAGGAGGCTCTCCACAAAAAAGAAACAGGCCTATGTCCCCCCCAGCTCAGACCATGAGGAATGTTGTGATTGTAACAAAGTCAGCCAGCCGGACCTCATATAATATGAGTTCCCTAATTGGGGCTGTTAATCTGGTCCAATCAGGGAACCCTGGCTGACACATAAAAGGAGTGAATGTTAGAGAAACTAACACTCTGACACCTGATTCTGAATGAAGCAGTAACATGGTCAAGGACTGTTCATGCGTAAATAAAGGGTGACTTGGTGATGGCATCCTGGTCCCTATGGAGTTATTTCAATTCCAATCCACCAGACATGGGGAAGAAAAAGGGCTTATATTTATATGCTTTTCAGTGCATTTCTAGCCCATCTCAGAGTCGTCATAGAGAAATTGAGCTATACAGATTGGAAACAGACCCTTCAGTCCAACTCGTCCATGATGACCAGATATCCTAAATTAATCTAAGTCCCATTTGCCAGCATTTGGCCCATGTACATCTAAACCCTTCCTATTCATATACCCATCCAGATGCCTTTTAAATGTTGTAATTACACCAGCCTCCACCACTTCCTCTGGCAGCTTGTTTCTTGCATGCACTGCCCTCTGCATGAAAAAGTTACCTCTTAGGTCCCTTTTAAATGTTTCCCCACTAACATTAAAACTATGCTTATATGGATTTTGACTCCCTCACCCCAGGGAAAAGACTTTGGTTATTCACCCTATCCATGCCCTCATGATTTTATAAACTTCTATAAGGTTACCCCTTAGCCCCGACATTTCAGGAAAAATAGACCCAGCCTATTCAGCAACTCTTACAGCCACAATTTTCTCCTGTCCTCCATCTTGGATTACCCAGAATCCATCTTCAACTCTAATTTCCTGCCTTTTTCTTATAATCATCAACTCCATTATTGATTAAAAATCAGTCTAACTTAGCCTTAAATATCCAGAATGATCCAGTCTTAGCGGTTCCTTGTGGTAAAGAATTCCACAGATTTATTACCCACAGAAAAGAAATTCCCCCTCGTCTGTCTTAAATGCGCAATTCCTTATTCTAGGATTACGTTCTCTAGTCTGAGACTTGCCCACGAGGGAAAACAACCTCATTGCACCTACCCTGTCAAGTCGTCTAAGTATCTCATATACTTCAATAAGGCTGCATATCATTCTTCCAAATTCCAATAAGTACAGCCTAACCTACCCAATCTCTCCTCATAAGACAATCCCTTCATCCTCAGTGTCATTCTTCTCTGGACTGCCTCAAATGCCAAAGTATTTTTCCTTATCTAAAACTGTACACAGTATTCTAACTGTACACAGTGTTGACTTGTGCCTCGTATATTTTTAACAAATCCTCTCCACTTTCATACTCCATTGTCTTTGAAATAAAGATCAATATTTCATTTTCCTTCCCTATTTGCTGCTGAACTTCGATGCTGACATTTTATGACTCATGGATGTGGACTCACAAAGCCCACTGTTCTGTATCTTTCTGAATTATTTCTCTATTCAAATAACATTCAGCTCCTCCATTTGCCCTGTCAAAGTGCATAACATCATATTTTCCAACATTGTATTCCATCTGCAAAGTTCTTTACCCACTCGCTTAACCTGTCTCTATCCCTCTGCAGATTCAGTGTCATCCTCACCCACTTGCCTTTCCATCTATTTTTGTGTCATCTGCAAACTTGACTACAGGAGATTCATTTCCTTAGAAAAAGAGATCTACAGTAATCCTCAATGAAAACAGCATATTAGCTTGGAATCAGACAGAAAGGAAGTATTTGTACCTGGGGCAGTGGACCAGGAGAATAGTGCTTTCAGAGACCAAAAGAGGGTGGCATGATGGTTCAGTGGTTAGCACTGCTGCCTCAAAGCACTAGGGGGGGCTTGGGTTCAATTCCACACTCGGTCACCTGTCTCGATGGAGATTGCACGTTCTCCCTGTTCTGTGAGAGTTTCCTCCAGGTGCACAGGTCTCTTCCCACAATCCAAAGACGTTAAGGTTAGGTGGATTGGCTATGCTAAATTGCCCATCATGTCCAGGGATTTTGTGCAGGCTAGGTGGATTGGTCATGGGAAATGCAGGGATAGGGTAGGGAGTTGGGCCTATGTAGGATGCACTTTGGAGGGTTGGTGTAGATGTGATGGGCTGAATGACCTGCTTCTATAGTGTAGGGATTCTATGATTAGTAATTTTTAAATTAAGCTGCTGAGAAAGAATTATGAAGAAACTCAGGCTGAAGCCACAAAGTCCCAAAGGTCATGAGGTAACTGTTGAAATTTGTCCTAAGAAACTGAATAAATTCAAAAACTCTATACAATCAAATACTTTCTAGTAATGAATCATACTGGAAAAAGGGGATCTTGTGCTGAGGAAGCTGTGTTAAATTATCTGTGGTTGTGCATTTGTGCTTTTAATGTAAAGCACAAGTAATTGCTTATGACAATATTAAACTAGTGGCACTTCATTTATTCAATTGTTTTAATAAACTGCAATGGTTACGTTACGCCATTCAATCAGATCATGGTACACTAACTCTTTTTACTTGCTTTTGATCTGTATTCTTCACTAGACTTCCTTTGTAAAGATTTATCAAAATTTTTGAGAAGATTTGTAGCTCAGGTTGTGGACGAGGTTGTAGACTTGCTCACCGAGCCCTGGTGTGTTTGATTGCAGGCACTTCGTCACCCTGCTAGGTGACATTGTCAATGCTCCTCTGGTGAAATGTTGGTGTTCTGTCCTGCTTGTTATTTATATGCCTCAGTTTGCAGGGGTGGTTGGCATCACTTCTGGTTTTGTTTTTCAGTGGCTTGTATATCGGGTCCAGTTCAATGTGTTTGTTGATGGAGTTGGTTGGAATGCCAGGCCTCCAGGAATTCCCTGGCATGTCTCTGTTTGGCTTGTGCTATTATGGATGTGTTGTCCCAGTCAAATTTGTGTCCTTTGTCCATGTGTACTGAGATCAGTGAGAAGGCCAGACACACTAGTCACCCTACCATTCATCACAGACATATCAGAGATAACCACAATACTTCAGAGATACTTTCAAATACTTTAGAGACATTTAAGCAACTCTTGGATAGGCACAGAGGATAGTAAAATGTAGGGTATGCAGGGTAGATTGATCTTAGTAGGTCGGCACAACATCGTGGGCTGAAGGGCCTGTACCGTGCTGTACTGTTCTATGTTCTATGTTCACTGCTCAGATCCCTAGGTATCAGTGTAGCCCACAAACCAACAACCACCCTACGACAGCCACTGATGAACGTAAGGGATCCCATACCCAAAACCAGCAAAACCGGTATAATATACAAAATACCGTGCAAGGACTGTGAGAAACACTACATAGACCAAACTGGAAGAAAACTGTCAATACGGATAGAAGAACACCAACTAGCCACCAAGAGACACGACCAGTTCTCACTGGTCTGTAGTAATTGGATGAATTTTATAACTCTTCAATCCAAAAGACATAATTGTCAATCAAGAGACTTCAGAAAACTATTACTAACATAGCTACAATCTCCCCACTTTTTTTCTTTAAATGTCCTAGTGTAAAAACCACCACATCCTGGAAGTTCATTATTAGTCGGATTAGTTTCTCCATTTTCTTTTGTTTCAAAAAGAAACATTAAATCAGATGAATTTCACCACTTGACTGATCTTTGAGTCCCCTTTTACCACTTTTCTTTTGTCCTTTTCCTCAATTATCCATTATTTAGCAATTTGAGAATTTGTTATGGCTTTCAAGAGGTTATTTTGTCCTTGCTTTTGAAGAGATGTTGTAAAGCAGAGATGTTAAGCCATATACTGAAGATCACTTGAGTAAACAGCATGTGAGGCTTTGGCTTTTTTGTTTAAAAGTTGGAAAAATAGAAGCAGGCTGGCTGTAACCAGCTCTCACAGACCAGGCTTTCTATTTTTTTTTTCAGTTTTTGGCTTTAGCTTTTAGGTTTAGCAGAAGCTATTGGGGTCTCATGAATCACAGAAAGTAGGTCTGCAGGTACAACAAGTAATTAGGAAGGCAAATGGAATTTTGTCCTTCATTGCTAAAGGGATTGAAATAAAAAGCAGAGAGGTTATGTTGCAGCTGTACAAGGTGCTGGTGAAGCCACACCTGGAGTACTGTGTGCAGTTTTGGTCTCCTTACTTGAGAAAGGATGTATTGGCACTGGAGGGGGTGCAAAGGAGGTTCACTAGGTTGATTCCGGAGGTGAGGGCGTTGGCTTATGAGGAGAGACTGAGTAGATTGGGATTATATTCATTGGAATTCAGAAGATTGAGGAGGGATCTTATAGAAACATATAAAATTATGAAGGGAATAGATAAGATAGAAGTAGAGAGGATGTTTCCACTGGCAGATGAAGCTAGGACAAGAGGGCATAGCCTCAAGATTAGAGGCAGCAGATTTAGGACTGAATTGAGAAGGAATTTCTTCACCCAGAGGGTTGTTAATCTATGGAATTCCTTGGCCAGTGAAGTAGTTGACGCTACTTCAGTAAATGTTTTTAAAAAAAAGGTAGATTTTTTTTGAACAATAAAGGAATTAAGGGATACGGTGAGAACGCGGGTAAGTGGATCTGAGTCCACAAAAAGATCAGCCATGATCTTATTGAATGGCGGAGCAGGCTCGAAGAGCCAGACAGCCTACTCCTTCTCCTAGTTCTTGTGTTCTAGTGTCTCAAAACTGTTGGAAGCTTCAGTGAATGCCTCCTGGCTGCTACTGTCTCTGAATTTTCTCTGGATCTTTTTCCTCCTGGATTGGAGAACTGCATGTGAGAACTGGGGTCTGAATTTTCTTTTTTTGCCAAAGATTGTGTTTATGGGATGTTACTATATTGGAACGGTTATTAGTAATAGTTACCGTATCCATTAGTCTGTTAAGTTTCCAACAGAGTTGTTAAATTCCTCTTTCTTTGACTGTATTTTAACTAGTGTTTAAATAAATTGCGTTTGCTTAATGTCGAGTATTTTGATCAGTCACATTGCATCGGGATCAGTCTTTGAAGTAAGAAAAAGTTAGGGTCTAGGATACCTTCCTAAATTATTTTGAGGGGGTCTGGTCTGGTCCGTAACAAATTTAACAAGTATGTCACATCCTTATTATCCATTATGGTGTCACTTCTATCTGTTTTAATGAGCACATTTCATACCTCTTTCTCCCAAAGTATTTATGAAATATTTTACCATATTCTTGAATATTGCTTGTAACTTTTATGTTCACATTTCTATTGTAAAAACTGATGCCAAATATTCATTTCCATACTTGCATGATATTCTTTCTGAAATGCTTATTGAAATATGAATATAATTTCTTGAATATCAAGGGTTGAATGGTTAGAGCTAAAGGCAAGATACTTCCCACAGCAGCAGGCAACAGGCAACAGAAAATGACTGAGAATCTGCCTGAGGGGATCCCCATGGGTTGCACTGTCCATGGAAATTTCCAACCCATATTAAACAATTCATCATGTGCGATGGTTTCACTATGAAGTTCCTCCCCTATACCATTATCAAAAAGTTTGCTGACAGAATGGCGTCAGTACATGAGCTGGAAGAGATTAGGGGTTACTGGCAGGATTTACATTATTTACTCAGCAAATGAAAAAAGAAGTCAATTTTAAAAAGAAAGTCTTTGCAAAGTGCAGCTTGAAGCAGAACTCAGCAATTTGTCCCATTACAATAGGGTGATTTCTTTGGCAAAATGCAATGAGTTGAGGATCGTATTGTACTCGAAACTGACCATTTCTCCAGCAAAATACAGTATGTAGAGGATACCTGCATTGAACAATTCAAGCACAAATGATGAACCCTAGTCACTTTAGAACAAAGGGAGCTCAGGCCTGATTAACAGAGGAATTTTGTTCTGACTGGGAAGACTGATCGTTTATATTGGATTGATGCTACATTTCTCCTTTATCTCAGAGGAAAATGGAAATAGTTCTAAATCCAAACAATTATTTATAGAACTTTTAACATTCTAGAACTCTGATAACATTTAATTAACATGTCTTACTGGGGTAGCACGCTGGAAATCAATCACTGCTACTCCTGGATCGTCACAACAGTTTCACAAAGTACACAAAATTACCCAGTTTACAAGACAAATTGATACAAAGAAAGATCAGATTTCTGGACTGAAGGAGATTTACTATTTACTGCAAAGAATCAGATGCTAGCTTCAGATATAGATATAAACTTATCTTGCTGACACTGGAACCGCAAACTCAGAGACCTTCTGGACTCTCGCAGGGCCAGCCTCCCCGACCTTGTGTGAACCTGAAACCGGGGCCTGAATGGCGTGGGAACAAGATGTGACCCCATAGTGACCTACCATTGAGAAGACTCAACTGAATGGGCCACACGATCTCCCAGAATGCTCAATGGCCACGAATGGTGCCCAAGACCCCATCTTGAGCGCACACTTACCTCTTGGAGCAGCAGACTTCCCTCACTGATGTCCAGGATTGACTAGGAGCAGCCACCTCCCCTGAAAAAAAACGGGAGACATGCTGGACTTCAGGCGAGACTGAAATGTTGGAGTTTCAAGTCCCCTCTCCCCACCATACTCTAAGCAAATGTCCAAGCCATTGAGAACAAAATGGATGACTGAAAGCTGGATTCAGCTTCCAAAGGAACTGAGACACTGCTGTATGCTCTGTTTTACAGAAATTTGGCCCAATCCTGCTATACCTGACTGTGCCTTACAACCTGAACATTTCTCAATTGACCAAATGGACCATTTGGCGTCCTCGGGCAAGGCAAGGGAAGGTGGGGTCTGCCTCTTAATCAACATTTCCTGGAACTCAAACGTTGCGACCCTGGTGAGTTACTACTTCCCAGACCTAGAATATCTTAAAGTGGCATCCCTACTACCTGTAACGAGATCCTTGACTTCCTGACCCATTGACCGCAATCAATAAGAACAGGTGACAACACCTCCTCCACCATAATCTTCAACACCGGTGCCCCACAAAGCTGCATACTCAGCCCCCTCCTATACCCCTTATACACTCACGACGGTGTGGCCAAATTCTGTCCCAACTCTATTTACAACACCACTGTTGTAGGCCACATCTCAAACAATGAAGACACAGAATACAGAAAAGATATTGACTGCTTAATGACATGGTGTAAAGACAACAATCTCTCCATCAACATCAGCAAAATGAAGTAGCTGGTCATTGACTTCAGGAAGCAAAGTGGAAGACTCGTCCCTGTCTCCATCCACGGTGCTGAGGTAGAAATGGTCGATAACGTCAAGTTCCTAGGAGTGATGATCACCAACAATCTGTCCTGGTTCACCCACGTCAATGTGATGGTCAAGAGAGCACAACAATGTCTCTACTTCCTCAGGAGGCTGAGAAAATTTGGCATGTCCACAAGGACTCTTAGCAATTTTTATAGAGGCACTATAGAGAACATCCTATCTGGATGCATCACAGCTTGCTCCTCCCAAGGACTTTAGAAACTACAGAGAGTCATGAACACAGCCCAGTCCATCACACAAAGCAGCCTTCCACCCATTGACTCCATCTATACTTCTTGCTGCCTTGGGAAAGCAACTAACATAATCAAAGACCCCTTCCTCCTGGTTATACCTTCCTCCACCCTCTTCTGTTGGGTAGAAAATATAAAAGTTTGAGTATACAAACAAATAGATTCAAGAACAGTTTCTTTGCTGCAGTTATCAGACTTTGAATGGACCTCTCAGATTAATTCTGATCCCTCTCTCTCTCTCTGTACCTTCTCTGCGGCTTTAACACTGTATTCTGCATTCTGTTCTGCTACTGTGATGCAATTTGTAAAGTACGATCTGTCTGCACAGCACGCAAAACAGCCCTTTTCACTGTATCTCGGTATGTGACAATCAATCAAACCATAGACATATGACACAAGTAATTAAAGTAGTCAGCCCCTCATAAACTCCCCCTTTCTCAGACACTTTCAAAAAGGGTAAAATAGATGGTGGGCAGAGGGGGAAACTGGAAAGACAGTTCATTAGTCTTTATTCTCAGGTTCTGTTGTTCAAATGATATCTATGATGTGTCTGCTGGCCAGCACTTTGCTTCAATCGCCTATCTCCAGATGCTTCCTCTGATTTGTAAGAAATGCAAGATGACTGATACACTTATAAAAGGTCTTTGACTTATCAGTTAAAAGTCACAGCTTACAACAACAGTTGTAGGAAGGGTAAACTGGTTTTCATTAGGTTTAAAGTTAGTTTTGACTGGAGAACAGAAAGACCATTTCTGAGCTGGGGAAAGAAAAGAACACTTCTCTCTCTCTGTCTGTCTGTAACATGTTCCCAGCTCCAAGCAGTTCAGTTACGAATCCACAGTTATTGGCTGGTATAAAGGTCTCTGCTGTTGACAACTCATCTCCAGTCCATGCACAAATGAACTTCTTGTTACCAGCAAAGATGAATCTATCCACCCCCTCAGCAACTAATTGTATGCAACTCAAACTTTAATTACTTCTTATTTAAACACTTTTTACACAATGCCTGCAATGGATGCAAGGTTATTATTTTTTTTCAAAACTGAAGCTACTCTTTCAAACATTTGTTTTTAAATGAGCCCTTTCTCATTTCAGTCCCCAGTTTTACAAAGAACACAAAATAAAAATATATAATCCTTACATGACTTTTAGTCATTACAGGGAGGCCTAAGCCTGGTCTCTGGAAACTTACATGAGAGTCCGCCGCCTGATTCATGTACAGGCTGTGAAATAACTGCACAGTATGTGGCATCCCATCACCAAATGACCCGTTACTTACATGTGCACTGTACATGGGCTGTGACCAGCCAGCTCAAAGCCAGTCCCTAGTCTGAGAAACCCTTCTGAATCTCCTGCTCATATCTGTCATGCAGGGCTCCCTGATTAGCCCAGGTTAACAGTCCCAAACAAGGATCTCATAGTCAATGACCATGGTTCCAATCACTACAGACTGAAGTAAACTCTACACACAGGTCAAAGCATTTGAGCACTGTACAAGTGCCCATGATTGGACAAGAAATAGTCTTCACTTGATTTATCAGAAGGTTCTCACCAACTTTGAAAACAATCACATCTCCTCACTATCTGTTTGAATGAAGAGCCCTCTGTCTCTTCTCATAACTAAAGCCTTGCACCTTTGCTATAATTTTAATAAATCTCTTCATGTACCCTTTCTATGGGGTTGAATTTCTTTCTTAAATAGGGCTAATTAGGAAATTGTCATGTCAATAACTGAAAGTTGTCTACCTGATTGATAAGTGAAAACACATGTTGCGGTTAGTGGCACTCAGAATTTTAACTTGTTAAATGGCTGCTGATTGTTTGACTGAGTAGCTCAACTAGGGTGGCACGGTGGCTCAGTGGTTAGCACTACTGCCTCACAGCGCCAGGGATCCGGGTTTGATTCCAGCTTCAGACAACTGACCGTGTGGAGTTTGTACTACTGTGGGAACATGACTAATGTTACTTCTAGTCACATAAACCACAGTAAGAGGTTGAATAGGCTGGGGCTATTTGTCCTGGAGTGCAGAGGCTGAGGGGTGATCTTATAGAGGTTTATAAAATCATGAGGGGCATGGATAGGGTGAATAGTCAAGGACTTTTTCCCAGGGTAGGGGAGTCCAAGCATAGGGGGCATAGGTTGAAGGTTAGAGGGAAAAGATTTAAAAGGGACCCAAGGGACAACTTTTTCATGCTGAGGATGGTGTATGTATGGAATGAGCAGTCAGAGGAAGTGGTGAAGGCTCATTCAGTTACAACATTTGAAAGGCATCTGGTTGGGTACATGAATAGGAAGGATTTAGAGGAATATTGACAAAATGCTGGCAAATGGGACTAGATTAATTTAGGATACTTCATTAGCATGGACAAGTTGGACCGGAGGGTCTGTTTCCATGTTGTACAATTCTTTAGCTCAATAAAGAGTCTAAACAAAAAAAATTGAACCATATTAAAATTACTGGCTCACACCATCCCAAATACCATTGTGTTCCATTATCTTCTTAGACTCCCTGTTGGAGTTGACCTACCAGGCATCAATCTCTCTGCCCTTTTTTTTGAGAAAGGTACAAATCTAAATATTCAGAGGCCATTGTGAAACATCACAGCTGATTTTAATCCTGTTCTTATAGACATGCATCTAGAAGAACATTTAGCAACGCTTGATGGGTGGTGATCAGAAGTTGATATTATTGTGTTTCCACATTTGGAGTCCCTTTAATAACTCCACATGCAAACAAATCATGTACCTGGATGTGGTCACATAACCATAGACTTTCTGCTCTGCAGTACGTGAGGCATTGGCTGTGTCAGGAGATTCCTCTGCACAGTGTGTGTGTCAGTTTAGCTGTAAATAAACTCACCAGAGATCTGCAAGTAAATAGAATCCACATACCTCTTCTGTATTACATTTAGATACTGCAAAAACATTATTATGTGGTGCAGAGCTAGGATTTTTTTCTTAAAAAAGAAACAGGACAGAGAAGAAACCATGCTTTAAAAATTTGAAGGTCATGGGAATCAGCAGCAAACAAAATATAGCAACAATCTAAAAGTGCAGTACAGTTAGTGAAAAAAGTGATTTATCTGCAAACAGAATCAATCTGAGTTGGCCAGGTTTATGGAAGCAGCCAGTTGAATCAAATCTGCTCTATCCAAAGACTGTTTCAAATCTGAATGACCCACAGTAGTCAGCCCTTGTGCAGAGCTAAGTGAAATTGTGGCTAAATTCAAATGAGAAAAATTAAAATGATTAAAAATTAAAAATTCTGCATTCAGGAGCAGTGCAGGACCAGCAGAATGAGTCAAGTAAAGAAGAATAGAAAGAAACACAAGGTACGCTGATGATAGCACAGAAGAAATGCATAACGTTAAATATAAAGTTAAAGGAGAAAAGAACAGTAGAAGGATGTTTAGCAAATTCCCAATCATGAACTGGAAAGCTTAAAGAACTATGGATGTTGTAAATCAGAAACAAAAATAGAAATTGCTGGAAATTCTCAGCAGATCTGGAAGCATCTGTGGAGAGAAATCAGAGTTAAAGTTTTGGGTCAATCTCAAGCCCTCCAACACTGGCAACATCCTTGTAAATCTTTTCTGAACCCTTTCAATCTTCACAACATCGTTCCTATAGCAGGGAGACTAGAATTGAATGCAGTATTCCAAAAGTGGCCTAATCAATGTTCTGTACAGCCACAAAATGACCTCCCAACTCTTATACTCAAAGCACTGATCAATAAAGGCAAGCATAACAAACGTCTTCTTCACTATCCTGTCTATCTGTGACTCTACTTTCATGGAAATATGAACCTGTACTTCAAGGTTTCTTTGTTCAGCAACACTCCCCAGGAGCTTACCAATAAGTGTACGAGTCCTGCCCTGATTTGCCTTTCCAAAGTGCAGCACCTCACACCTATCTAAATTTAACTCCATTTGCCAATCCTCGGCCAATTGGTCCATCTGATCAAGATCCCGTTGTGCTGAGGTAAACTT